TTTTTAAATATAATGTGAAAAATACCAGGACTATGCCAATTTTTAGATTCAATTCCTTTAGAGTACATTTGATATAGAAAAACACTTGAGTAAAGTTTCTTAAAGCAGTGTTTCTCAACCTCAGGAATTATTTTGAGGTTAAAACACCAAATTAAAATGAAGGAAGGCTGTAGAGAGTGAATGGCAAGTTGGAAGGCGAACTTTGTAAAGCAAGAAACTCATGCATTCATTTCTGATTTTGGTTTGTTTTAATGTGACCTAAGGGGTAGGCCTGCCACACGGCGTCTCCAAAGTTCCCTTTGATGGCCGCTGCTGAAAATTGGCACCGTTCTGAAGCAGGGAATAAACAGCCACAGCCTTTGCAAAATTCCCACACCCCCCCAAGCCAGGAAAAATCCCAGTCTTCCATTATATGGAGAGCCAGTTTGGTAGTGGCTAAAGCACCAGACTAGAAAAAAAGAGATTGTGAGTTTAAGTCCCAGCTTAGCCATGAAAGCCAGCCTGGTGACTATGGGCCAATCACTCTCGCTCAGCCCAACCCACCTCACAGGATTGTTGTTGTGGAGAAAATAGAAGGAGGAAGGTGTGTTGGGTTTGTTCACCGCCTTGAGTTATTTATAAAAATAATAAAGGTAGGATATAAACAAACAAACAAACAAACAAATACCCCTGGGGCAAGCCTCCTACCTTTGCATCATTGTCTTTATCCCCCCAATGGTTTGTGGCCTACTGTTTACAGGCGCAAATCTGAGTTGCAAGAATGCAGATAAATACCAGAAGGCAGCAAAAAGTTACAGACGATTCTCTTTTCTTCTGTCTTGTGGACATTTCAGTTTTTCATTGTCTAGAATTTACCTCAGCTGTTCAAAGGGTGCTCACACCTGAAATTCAGGATTCCCAAGTTGTGTGTGTATGAGCTCCCATACGTGCTGATAAGACAGAATTTGCTATTTTAGCAGTAGCTGCACTCCTACAATGATTGTTTTGCAGGCCTCATCAAAATGCACCAGAATTGGATCCATTGAGAGAAATTTCAGTTTAAAGTACAGTACTCATGAAAGGAATGAATCAGAGAAGAAATCACTTATTAATGCTAGCCATTATTTGATATAATGCGTGAGTAAAAGATCTAATCACCCAAAACAGGATGGAAAGGGGCGTGTTCTGTCCCACAGATAACTTTCTTAAGTAATAAACAAGCATACTGCCCCATTTGTTATTTTAATGTGTGTTTGTCTCTCTCTCTCTGTCTCTCTCTCTCTGTGTGTGTTTTGTGAATTTGGTACATGGCAACCTGGTGATGGTAAAGAGTATGTTGGATGGAATATAAAAGGAATATTAAAAGCATCTTTGAAGAATAATCCATCCATCTATCCATCAATGTTTTCTTCTTTGTTTGAAAAATACGTATTTTTTAATTAATTTACATTGATATGATTTGCATTTTCCAGAATTGTGGTGTGTGTGTGTGAAATGTGTGTTTGCTCATAATTTTGTTTGTAGAAGGGGTATAGTGTGTGCATTTTGATTGTCTCTGGATCTTTGTGAAGCGATGTGTGGAAATGAGCTGGATTAAGGCTAAAGGAGAGAGTTTTGATTTACTGTATTGCTATGCATACAGGAAAATTCCCATAGGGATAATAAAAACAGCAAAGACAACTGGGAATTTGCTAATTTGGTACTAGCTCATTGGAGGGGTAAAATTTGGCACAGAAGTAACAGTTGATGATGATCCTGGGCAAGTGATCAGATAGTGCTTCCCTATCTAGAATTGGGGATGGGGTTGTACTAAAGATGACTTCCCTCTTTGTATGTTTGCATGTAATCAGGACTGTCAGCTTTGGCCCAGTGCTGAACTTTCAAAGCCATTATTATCTCTCTCATACAAACCAGAGAATGTGGTCTGTACAATTTTGCTCCAGGGATTCGTTTAATCTTCCAGCGACCCAAACATAAACATTTACTAGAATAGAGAGTGAAATCAAAAGAGTGCATTTTACCAAAGGTCGCTATTTGAGGCAGATACAAAATTATGTCATTTCACTTTGAGAGTTGGGGTATTGGGGTCATCATTCTGCCACAATATTTTTCCTTGTATTATCTATAGTGTTGGTCTGTTTTCATAGCGAGCTTGGGCAAAAAACACAATCTTAAATCATTTTTACAATGAAGGTTGCAATGGCCTTCCTGTCCCAAGGTTTTTTAAAAATGCTGTAAATTTCATTCATATAGCACATCAAGATAGAAAAGGGGGAGAATTAAGATTTCTGAAGCACCACCACTTTCCAATAATGTTAGTTTCCATGCTGAGAGTTGCCATATGTTGCAGGGGCATCCAGAAAGGAGTTGAGATTCTGCAAGATGGCGGTCAGAGGGTTACCGTCCCAAGCCCTGCCAATTAGTTTTGACAGACATACATATGGTCGTTTTAATGCATATAATGGTTTTATGCATCTGGAAGAAAGCTATTTTGCATAAATATTTCATTTCTTTTTATTATTTTCATCACATAGTATAGCAAAAGTATCCACAATAAATTATTAAAATGAAATAAATAAAATGTTAAGAGTAAAAATTAAAGTTGGATTAAAAAGTTCAAGTTTCTAGGTCAGTGAGGGCGAACCTTTTAGAGACCGAGTGCCCAAACTGCAACCCCAAACCCACTTATGTATAGTCGGGTGCAGGTGGGCATGGCCCACTGGGTGGGTGTGGCCAATTGGGTGGGTGTGGCTTTGGTGGTAATGGCAGACTGGGTGAGACTAAAAAGTTCAATCAATCAATTCCAACTTCGCAAGATCTTTTTTTTCCCACGAGAAGTTGAAATTGATTGATTGAACCTTTTTTTTTTTTGCACATGGTGGTGGAGGCCTAAAGCGAAAAGGTTTTATAGAACCCAGCTGAAGGCCTAGGACTGGGGCAATGGCGCGCGTGCCCACAGAGAGGGCTCTGAGTGCCGCCTCTGGCACTCGTGCCATAGGTTCGCCACCAATGTTCTAGGTTCTATTATCTCCAAGTACTTGAAAATGATGCCTAACATTAGAACCATCATTCAAAGGGCACAACAAAGAACGTTCTTCCCGCATCAACTCAGAAAGCTTAGGTTGCCCAAGAATCTGCTGATACAATTCTAAAGGAGTTGTGGTGGCGCAGTGATTAGAATGCAGTATTGCAGGCTCAGCTCACTTCTAGGAGTTCGATCCTGACCTGCTCTAGGTTGACTCAACCATCCATCTTTCCGAAGTCAGTAAAATGAGGACCCAGATTGTTGGGGCTAATATGCTGACTGTGTAAACTGCTTAGAGTAAGGAATTATTGAGTCTGTCATTTGTATCTCAATAACTGTCTGGTTTGGCACTACAACCAAACAGGACAGATACAGACTTCAACAGATAGTTAGGACTGCAACCAGCCTGTCTTCCATTGAGGACCTGTATACTGTATGAACCAGAAAGAGAGCTGAGAAAATATCTACAGACACAAGCACAGTTTACAGAAGCAAAATGGCGGTAATTAGGCTAACAACAAGAATACCCTTTTGTACAATCCTTTTATTCTTATAAAAGAAAGGAATAAGAATATAAGGAATAGGACTGAGGCAGTGTATTCAGGACTGAGTAGTCATTACAGTTAGTCCTTGATATTTGACCAAGATGGAGCTTGCCCATTATGGTTATATATCTCAATGGTCATAAAATGGGTGAAATGACTGACCCAATTTTATGACCTTTGTGGTGGTTGTTAGGCAAACGTTGCAGTCATAAAGCAAACTAATGGTTCTGTATGCGCGCAGTTTTTCCAAAAACCAGAAGTATGTGCCAGAAGTAGTTCCCTCAAGATACCAAAAGAAAAGCCAGACTTTTATTGTCTATACCAGAGGTCCCCAACCTTTTGGGCACCAGGGACCGGTTACGTGGTGAGAGATTTTTCCGCGGACCGGAGGGGCCATGGTTTTGTGTGCTGCCTGCATCCCGCGGATGGGACTTTGTTTGTGCGGCCCGGTTGCTGGCATGCCACAGCCCGGTACTGGTCCACGGACCGAGGGTTGGGGACCCCTGGTCTATAGCACCAACCTCCTAAAAATCTTTGGCGGCTGAGTAAACAATAATGCGGCCTCCCAGCTACAGGTCATAGAAATTGTAGCTCTTTTGATATTAGAAAACAGGAAGCATTTATAGGAGAACTTCAGCCCTGGAATGTGTATGAGATGACAGGCCATTAAATAGCTGCAGGACACTACATTTCCCTTGTGACAAGGACACTGTTTCTATACATGTCCCTTCTGTTCTTTCAAGGAATGCTGCCGTGTATTTCTTCAAACCTTATGTATAGGCTGCATGCAGGTAGTCCTTGACTTACAGCCATTCATTCAGTAACTATTCAAAATTCTAATAGTACTGAAAAAAGAGATTTAATGAGCAGTCTTTGCACCTCTGATCCCCACGATCACGTGATTAAAATTTGGGTACGTGGCAACCGGTATGCATTTATAATGATTGCAGGATCCTGGGATCACGGCGCCATTTGCAACCTTCCATGCTGGTTTCTGGAGAAGCAAACTCAAAGGGGGACATGGATTCACTTAATGCCCAGTGCCCAACTCACTTAACAACAATGGCAGAAAAGATTGTAAAACTCACTTAACAAGTGCAAGGATTGGTTTTAAATCAATTTTTTTCGGTGGTATTGTAACGGTCATTTAAACGAATTGTTGTAAGTTGAGGACTACATGTAGTGATAAAGACTGGGCCTGGATGTAAATATCCAGGTTTAAGTCTATTGAACTTAAACTTCCTGGAGAACGTTGGTCTGGATTGCTGTCTTTCTCTTTCTCTGTTTCAGTGCAGCCTACTTCGCAGGGCCGTTGTGAAGGTAAAAGGACAAAAAAGATTTCCATGTGAGAGGGCTTCAGTTCCTTGAGGAAATCTTAAAAAATCAAATAAGGAGTGAATAAAATGTGTAACTCTTTTTTAAAATTTTCTCCCCAGGGCCCCCCTCGATCTGTTATACTTCCAGTCCTCCCGTGCAAGTACTGGAAGGCACTGGCTACCTTCATACAGATCCTCATCTCTTTGGCAATAGGCAAGATGGTTCCCCATTAATGGTAGAAGAGATCAATAATATTGAAGGTAAGCTTTTTTGCTCTTCATCTCTAGTTTGGTCTTCTGCCACCTGTGTCTTTTTTGAAACATGGATTTCAGTTTTCATCATGTTATCATTGGCCACGCAGGCTGGGAAGATGGAAGTTTTATCGTGTTGCATCAGGAAGGAGATTTGAGCTACTTCATAGAATCATGAAAGGGCTGGAAGGGACCTTGGAGGTCTTCTAGCCCAACCCCTTGCCCAAAACAGGAGTCCTTATTCCATCTTGGACAACTGGTTGTCCAGCCTTTTCTTGAACCTCCAGCAATGGAGCACCCACAACTCTGGGCGCAAGCTCTTCCACTAATTAACTGTTCTCTCTAGCTTCCGCCCATTGTTTCTTGTCCTGTCCTCAGGTGCTACGGAGAATAAATTGATCCCCTCTTTTTTTTTTTGACAACCCCTATATATTGGAAGACTGCTGTCATGTCAGGGAAGAGTTTTTATAAACAGGGAAAGCAGCAGAGTGAATGATAGAAAAAAGGTGCTTTTTCATAATTTCACTGTAATTATTTATATATATTTTTAACCTTCTACCCTTTACAGAATGTGCTCAGGATGGTTTAAGATTAGAAACAACCCAAAAAGTCAATAAAATCTGATAGATATTATAAAGAACAAGAATCAGATACCTCCTCATTGACAGCAGTGTCAGTGTGAAACAATTTTAATGCTGTAGAAAAATTACTCAAGAATAAATCCTGTTAAAAAAGATAAGTGTAGGACATAGAGCAGGGGTAGGCAACCTTGGCTCTTTTATGACTCGTGGACTTCAACTCCCAGAATAGAATGAAGAAGATGAAATGTTTTTAAAAATGGGTAGACAGACACCTTTCAAATATTACTTCAATGGTCTCACTTCTTAATTCCTCACTGGACCTTGTTTATGGAGATTCTCAACCAACCAGATCATGATTGTCCCAAAGATGCTTTTCTCTAAAAGGCCACTGGATTTTCTTGGTGTGTTTTTTTTCTTCATTGAAAACATTTTGCTTCTCATTCAAGAAGCTTCATCGGTTCTACTGCTCTACAGAACTGAAGAAGCTTCTTGGATGAGAAATGAAAGGTTTTCAAAGGGAAAAAAACCAAGAAAGTCCAGTGGCCTTTTGGAAAAAAGCACTTTTGAGGCAATCCTCACTGGACCAACTTCTAGATAATATTTATCTATTTATTTGTAAAATTTACAGACCACCCATCTTACCTCAAGATAATATTCCCAACGGTGTAATTTTTTTGGTAGTCTTTAAAAGTTGCATGAAAAAGGCCTCAGCTCTTACCTTTTTCTGTCTCTTTCTTTCTTTCTTTCTTTCTGCTTGGCGTCTGGGCCACAGCTGAAGACCCTTTGTGCAACTTCTACCCCCCAAGCTTTCTCCAGGCTTCAGAGGTGGAAATGAGAGGTTCGGAGGATGTTGTCCCTGGCACTGTTTTACAGCGGTTGATCCAGGAGTGGCGCTATGGCAATCCCAATGAGAATATGAACCTGCTGACTCTCCAGCACCAAGCTACGGGGAGCGCAGGACCCTCCAACTCCACTGCCAGCAGCACCCTGTCTTCTTCTGCAGAAAACCTTGTGCCGGAAGACTCACAAATGGTCCAGCAGTCAGCACGGCAGGAACCACAAGGCCAGGAACATCAGGGGGATAATACAGTGATGGAGAAGCAGACCAGAGGCTCACAGCCTCAGCAGAACAATGAAGAATTACCTTCTTACGAAGAAGCTAAAGCTCAGTCTCATTTTTTTAGAAGTCAACAGCCTAGTGTTGTTGGGCCCAGTTTCTACATGGCCAGCAGCACTGGTCCAAAATCTAAAACAGAAGGTAGGCCGACTTTGGCCCGTGCCAACAGCGGACAGGCCCACAAAGATGAAGCCCTGAAGGAACTGAAACAAGGCCACGTGCGCTCCTTGAGCGAGAGGATCATGCAGCTCTCCTTGGAAAGGAATGGGGCCAAACAGCATCTTCCCTGCTCGGGGAGAAGCAAAGGGTTCAAATCCAGTGGGCCCTCCCCTTCCCCAGCTTCCAATAAAGGCATGGATCTGAGAGGACCCCCTCCAGATTATCCATTCAAGAGCAAGCAGGGGGGCTCTCCAGGAAACAAAAGTCAAGAGCCTGGTGTGTTTTTTAATGAACAACATTCTGGAATGATTCAAGAAGTGACAAAGCCATCGTATTCGGCATCACAGCCAGCGAGGAGCGAGGTGGCTATTGTCCGATATCCAGGTCCCCCAGAATATGGTGTCTCCAGGTAAGTTTTGCAATATATACATTTTGGGGGGACTCCTACTGTAAAAAGATCAGATCCTTGTACAATCTTTCTCTTTTCTTTATTACATAAAGACTATCACGTTAACTATTATGAATAATTCTTCTTTCAATCATTCCAGTAATTACAAGCTCTTTGCGACGGACCTCTTTAAGTGTAAGTAATCCAACTGAAATGTGTTCCTCTTTCTGTAGTCGTCAGTGTGCATCATCTTTTCCATCACTGCCAACACCCCAGGAGCACAGCCCAATGTCCTCTCAGACCTCCTCGCTTAGCGGCCCCCTGCACTCCGCGTCTCTGCCGCCTCTCTCAATGGCCACAACATCCCAGTCTCTGCCCGCAACTCCGCCTAGCCAGCAGCCCCTCACACCAGATGCCTTCACGATAGTACAGCGAGCCCAACAAATGGTGGAGATGTTGTCTGAAGATAATGAAGCCCTGCAGAAGGAGCTGGAGGGCTACTACGAGAAAGCCGACAAGCTTCAGAAGGTGGGTGGCAGCATAGAGAGGATCCAGGTCTACCTACCTACCTACCTACCTTACAGTGGCTGTAGCCCATCCAACTCAAAAATATTCTGGGCTAATTATGAGGCCATAGTGGGTTTTTTTGTGTGTGAAATATGCATTCAGGAGGCACGTATATAACTTGGAATTGAGACCCTCATCTCTGCCTTGTATACTGTAAATGATTTGACTCAGCTCCCATTCCATTTATCTTCTTGGAAACAAATATTGACAGGTGGAAAAGTATGTTTTTTGGAGCACCATCTAGCCTCTCCTTTAGCTTCACCACCTTACCTTCTCAGGTGAGCTATGGCTCATCATAACATTGCAGAAGACATTTTGTAGATAAACGTGCCCTCTCTTATGGCACCATTTTGTGAGGTGTCCATAGCATATGTTCAGATCTTCAAAACATGCCTGCACTGATCCCCAGAAGATGTATCCTGGTTATAGATAGTGTGATCTGATAGTGCAAAGCAGTGTTTCTCAACTTTTTATAACTTTTAAGATGTCTTGAGTTTTGGCTCCCATTTCTTGGAGTTGAAGTCCAAATATCTTACAAGTTGCCAAGGCTGAGAAAGAGTGATCCAAAGGATAGTTAGGCTTTTGTGTAAAGTGGAGGCAATTCATGTAGTGTAGTAGTGTCTGGGACATCTCCAATTCAAATCTCTCTTCATCCAAGATTCTCCAAGGGGCCTTATGTAACATTATTCTTTCCTCCGTGTTGATCTAGTTGTTTACCATAAATACCTGTCTAAAATTCTTCCCAATGCCTTATAAATGAACAATATTATTGCAGTTGCCTGAGTGATACCAGTGTTCAGAGTCAATTTCTGTGATGTCGTTTTGTAACGCCTCAGCCACCCTCCTGTCAGACAGCCCGTTTCTAATGCTTGCCAAATTCTCCGCTGACACAAGAGTGTTTATACAGTTGTGGGCTGTCGTAGGCCACAAAAGGGGTTCCCAGAATTTTCTGCTCTGAACCAGCTTTTGAAGGCTTTGCTTTGTTGCCTGGCCTGCTGTCGTTTTAACTTTCTGGGAACTGTCCAACTGTACATTTTCACATATGAAACAGTAGAGTTTCCCCTCCCAAAAAGTTCAGTGCATATGTCTATTGACATAAAAACTTAGTTAAGCTTTTACCAAGTGGTCTGTGCGTAATGGATTGAGACAGCAAAAGTATTCTTGGTTTCAAAGAGGGGCTATAATTAAGTAATTTTAGATTCTGCCCTTAAGTGGTCTCATGATGAAAATGGAGGGTCATTTCTTCTTCCAAATCTAGTAAGTTGGTCTTGTTATATTTAGAGGTTTTTTTTATCATTCTGCTGAGTGGGAATCTGAAGAAATTCATCTCCTATTAGAACCGCCAAAGCTTCTGTTTACATCGTTGTCCCAGTTCTTTTTATCTTTAACCATGCAAAATAAAGTAAAATAAAGCTAATTGGGATTCCAGGCTACCTGCAGCCATAAACTACAATTCACAAATAGCAAAAGTTGGATTCACACATCATGCTACAGTAAATTTGTATCCCCACTGACCCATAGCTATCATGTTATTCCTTTTTTGGGGTAAATGATGGTCTGTAAAATATGGTAGAGGAGACCCTGATCTTTGCCACCCATCACAGTTTTGGTCAATCAGAGCTTTTATATTTATTTAATTATTAAATTTATTTGCTGCCCATCTTGCCACAGAACGACTTTGGGCAGCTTACAAAGTTAAAAGCAATAAATAATACAAATATTTATTTGTAATCCATTTTGGCCATTAGGACACAACCAAAACCCAGTTTTAGCCCAAGCATGCTCATACAGTTCAGTGCAAGCTAGGATCTCTAATCTAGAAGCTACCTTACAAATCAGCATTCTGCTGTTCACATTGCTCCAACTAGGTCCTGCATACTCCAGCTAAGACAAAACTATAGCATGGTTTAGTCCAGTGGTGGCGAACCTATGGCACGCGTGCCAGAGGCGGCACTCAGAGCCCTCTCTGTGGGCACGCGTGCCGTTGCCCCAGCCCGGCCTCCCCCCATGGCCCTCTCCTCACCAGCAGTCCCCCTGGAGGAGAGTCGCCCCCGGTCGTGGCCCGTGCAGAGCAGCACAGCCAAGGACATGGCAGCCGGTACAAGACTCTGCCCCTGCGCCCCGCAGCATCATCTGCTGCGTGGCCGCCATGATACTGCAGGGCCGCCTGGGTGATCTGCCGCGGTAGGTAGCCCTGCAGGGGGCGTGGGTGGGACAGGAGGCAAGGTGGAGTAAGCGGGGCAAGGGGCAGAGCAGAGTGGGCGGGGCAGGGGGCGGAGTGGGTTTTGGGCACTCCGTGTCTAAAAGGTTCGCCATCACTGGTTTAGTCCATTTTGTGAATCCAGAACCTGTAGCCTGTGTTTGGGGTCATGAACCAGCAATCAAAGGAGAAAGCAACTTCTAGCTACTGAAGATAAGGAAGGGTGACGCATGTCATGTGAGCATCTTCAGCACCTGAGGAGTGGAAGGAGACTCCAAAGCTTCTAGGAGACTTGGTCTCATGTCTGCCTACCAACACCCTGTTTCCGAGCAACTAAAAAAAGAGGTCAAAATTAAGGGTGTGATTTTGGGTAAAAGACATAAAACTACAGGTGAGCGTAGAGTCAAAATCCTCCCCCTCCCCCTCAAGATTTTTCTATTCTGTTTGTACTACTAGACAGGATCTTCCTACATTCCTCCAACTTAAAACAAAATTTGTATGGAACCCGTTGAATGGAAAGCCCGTGTTCTACAAGCTTTCCACGGGTGTGCTCAAACCTTCCTCTAGTGATTAGGAAAGAGATTGCTTTCAGACTTTTTAGGTTCGCAGAAGGATTCCCATTTAGACACGATGGTACAAGAATTTTTTTTGCAAAGTTACAGAAGTGGTAGAGTTGGCGGGGATGTCTAGGTACTGTATAATGATTGACATGCATCCTGCCCAGTTTTTATTGGAATATTAATTTCTCCTTTATCTTAGTTTGAAATGGAAATTCAGAGGATTTCAGAAGCTTATGAGGACCTGGTAAAAATCACCACCAAGAGAGAGTCACTAGACAAGGCTATGCGAAACAAACTTGAAGGTGAAATCAGGAGACTCCATGATTTCAACAGGGACTTGCATGGTATGTCTCCTCCTCCTCCTCCTCCTCTTCCTCCTCTTCCTCCTCCTTCCCCCCCTTCTCCATTTTGTGATATATATATATATGTGTGTGTGTGTGTTATTTATGTCATTCATTCTCTCTATATGATCAAATCACCACAGTGAACTTTCATACAGGTCACTTATTTTTCCTTTCATTTCTTATATTTCCTTACATTTCCTTTCATTTCTTAATTGATGTTCTTCACACTTTTTACTCCTCTTACATTCCAATTTTCAATCCCTCCTTCCCATGATTGTCACTAGGTTGACCTACAATCTTAACCTCTGCCATGATCATAACTTTAGTAAATCCAGGCTTTCATTGGGTGGTTTTTAGTAAAACATAGAGAAGGTGTAGAATAGGTTACCACATTTAGTCATAATCAGATTACATATGGCATGCCCTGCTAATGTTAAGGATAATACTGGGCAGTTTTGGTACATTTTGACTAGAATGCCACAAGAACAACTAAATTTTGTTAATTTATATAAAACATGCTTGAACTATTCTGTGCAAGCCATGATCTAAAATCTATCTCACAAACCAGCATCATATCAACTGAGAGATATAACAGATATGAATTGACCATTCTATTTCAATTTTGATCCAAAATCAGAATGGGGTAATTTGGGGTGGGGGATGGGGATGCTGAGCACAAGCTTCTTGTTAGCCCCAGAGGTGTGCATCCAGTGACATGACTTGTGTGTGCATGGACATTTTTGTTTTGCAATATTCTGAGATGGTCAGGAGTTTAAAAAATGGAAATGATTCTGCTTTATCCTGTAAAAGTGGTAAAAAAAAAGTCTATTTTATTTCAGTCATTTCTACTTATTGTTATGACAAAGATTAAGCATTTTGGCATTGACAGTATAATTCTGGGGTGCTGTGGGGACCACACCTTGAGATTTTGGGTATTGATGGGCCTGTGGTTGCTTTGGCCAGTTCTAAGCTATCATATTCTATTCTATATTGGCAGGCTAGAGACCAGACAAATTATTCCCTGTCATGAGTTTTAGAAAATTAATATAGATTGTCTGGATCAGGTTGCAGATGTCTGCTTAAGGGTTCCATTTATTATTGCTTGACCCAAACATGAACCCAGATTGCTTCTGCTTTTAGTTAATTATATACAGGACTTATTGTCTGCAAAGAAAAAGTTGTGGCTAACACTAATTATAGTTTAGGGCAGGGGTCTCCACACTTGGCAACTTTAAGACCTGTGTAAGACTTGCTGGCTGGGGAATTCTGGGAGTTGAAGTCCACAAGTCTTAAAGTTGCCAAGTGTGAAGACCCCTGCCCTAAACTATAATTAGCATTAGCCACAAGTTTTTCCTTGGAGACAATAAGTCCTGTATAAGTTCTGTGGACTTCAACTTTCAGAATTCCTCAGCCAGCATGGTTGGCTGAGAAATTTTGGAAGTTGAAGTCCACAAGTCTTAAAGTTGTCAAGTTTGGAGATCCCTGGTTTAGGGGAAGCCAGAACTGTAAAACAGAGATTGAAGTTCTCCAGGTATGAAACTCAGAGTATATGAGGGGGCATTTATACTGATGCCAATCCCCTGCTCAGGGCTGGAATCTTATATTATAACATCCACAAACAACTACAGGTAGTGCTCGACTTACGACCACAATTGAGCTCAAAATTTCTATTTTACGACCTTTCTTGCCACAGTTGTTAAGTGAATCACTGCAGTTGTTAAGTTAGAAACACGGTTGTTAAGTGAATCTGGCTTCCCCATTGACTTTGCTTTGTCAGAAGGTTGCAAAAGGTGATCCCATGACCTTGGGACACAGCAACGGTCGTTAAGTATCAACCAGTTGCCAAACATCTGAATTTTGATCTCATGTCATGGGGACGCTACAAAGGTTGTAACTGTGAGAAATGGTCCCAAGTGACTTTTTTCAGTGCCGTTGTGACTTGGAACGGTCACTAAATGAACTGTTGTAAGTTGAGGACTACCTGTACATATCTGGCCTTTAGTTGAAGACAGCCAGGGAAGGGAGCCCACCATCTCTCTGGATAAGTGATTCCACAGACAATCTGCTCTTACTCTTATGAAGTTTCCCCTGGCACGTATTCAGAATCTGCCTTCCTGTAACTGGTCCTGCAGTCTGGAATGAGGGGAAAAAAGTTTGCTGAAAGAGTTGTGCATTTTGGACTGGTTCTTAAAAAGGTGTTGCCTGACTGGATTTGGAATATCTCTCTCTCTCTCTCTCTCTCTCTCTCTCTCTCTCTCTCTCTCTCTCTCTCGCTCTCGCTCTCGCTCTCCATTAACTACAGCATAAACTATTGACTCGACGTGACTACTTTTATTTTTTTCCACAACTATTGCAAAAAGAGGAGATCTGTATAGATTCCTTTGTTCCCCTTCCTCTTTTTTGTGCTCCCCCAAAATTTGTCTTAGTCACAGAATGACATGTCAGGGAGGAGACGTGACAGAAGAAATTCCTCCATCGTAAGATCTTTTCCTGGAGCCCCGTGCCATCCATAAGCAGAAATAAGTTTTTTTGGCTTGAAGACACTAAGTTAGTATCTGAGCCAGCCTTCCCCCAAACACTTCTTGATGTGTTCTAGGTTGGAAAAAGTTGAGCTAGGCTGAAGTCTCCAGTAGAAAACCTCTCCCTTCTTCCTCATTCTCTAATATAATCTTCCCTTTCTTGCTGCTATTTCAATTAGTTTCTCTCTGAAGCTCTCTTTTTAAAGTTTTTATGTCACACTTGTTAGCCTGCCTCTCACCGTTCAAGCATTCAGTGCAATACACATGATATAGTTTATTCTTAAAAATCTTTCTCCTTCCTGTGTAGACCGACTGGAGACTGCAAATAGGCAACTGGCCAGCCGAGAGTTTGAGGGACATGAAAATAAGGCAGCAGAGGATCTTTACGCCTCTCAGAGTGAGTGCCATGTTAATATATACTGGACCTATGTTAGGAAATGTAAATGTATGTGATTTCACTTTATTTCCTAGCACCTGGATATTTTTTTTTCTTCTGTTCTCTGTCTTGTTTTTCTGGAGAGATTGTTGTAGCAGTTTATGGTAGGGGATAGGGAGAAAGTGGGAAGATTGTGAATATTTTTATGGAAGTGAAAAGTTCTGAGAAGGAAAAAGGAAACCCATCCCCTGATTTGCAAATTCAATTTTTTCCCCACCTTCTTGGTTCCTTCAAAATTCATGCAGAACTCAAAGGGGTAAAGCAATTAAATGTGGTTCCTTTGTTAAGATGTGCAACAGATATTGGCATTCTTCACCCCCAACCTGTAGATGTACTCTGCATCACCTTTGGAGTATATTGTTGAAATGAAGCTGAAAAGTGAGTATTGCCCACTCAGGGATGGCCACCATGTTTGACTTTTTTGATCTTCCTGGTCTCTGCTCAGCCCAAAGGAGGTACTTAGAACCTCAGTGAAGAATCTAGGTCTGCCAGTCTGCAAGGCTTGGAAGCCACTCCCAGTGTTGCCATTAAGTTGAACTTTTTTAACGCAAAAGAAAGAAATTCTTATTATATACCTGAAGAAAAATGGCATTAACTGCATTTAATTAATTTTAATAAGAGTTGGGTCCGTCTGCATTATCCCTAGCTCACAAGTGCATCTCATTACCCCAAATATGTCTCCTTTTATTGTAATGTTAAGTAGTCTTTTAATGTCCATTTATAGGTAAAGAACAACATTGCACTGGGTGGGAAACTGTTGAGTATGAACTTTTGGCTCAGATTTGTGGAGATGTAAAAAGAGAAATAAAAACCAATTAATCAGTAATAAGGGACAGGGAAGAAAAACTTTAAAATCATCATTGTTTTTCCTAAGAGGCAAAATAGGCCAGTCACTGTCCTTTTCTCTTCTGTAAGGTTCCAAAAATAGATGCTATGTGATGCTATAGGAAGAATCATCGATGATGAATTTAGTCATTCTGGCCCTACTTTTTCAGCCTAACAAAATACAGAAAAGATGACAATTTTTGGTCTCTGTTTCGAAACATTAGTGTCGCTGATCACTGAGGTTGTGTTTAGACATCATGTTGATTTTCCATTTTTACTCTTAGGCTTATCATATTTAGTTCAGAAGCCACTGAGACAGTAGCCTTCCATACATTTTATTGTTGTGAATTTACAACTTGATGTTCTACAGAGAGATGTTATTTTGTCCATCCAGAATCAGAATCAGTGTGGAGCTGGCCAAATGACACAATGGCTTTCCATGTGCTCTTCACCCAGGATGCATGTTGGATTATAAATTGTAGAGATCTGCTGTAGAATATAATAATAATAGTAATAATGATGATGATGATGATGATGATGATGGAAGGGACCTTGGAGGTCATCTAGTCCAACCCCCCGCTCAAGCAGGAGAACCTATACCATTTCAGACAAATGGCTGTCCAGCCTCTTCTTAAAAACTTCCAGTGTTGGAGCATTCACCGCTTCTGGAGGCAGGTTGTTCCACTGATTAATTGTTCTAACTGTCAGGAAATTTCTCCTTAGTTCTAGGTTGCTTCTCTCCTTGACTAGTTTCCATCCGTTGCTTCTTGTCCTGCCTTCAGGCGCTTTGGAGAATAGCTTGACTCCCTCTTCTCTGTGGCAGCCCCAGAGATATTGGAACACTGCTATCATGTCCCCCTCGTCCTTCTCTTCATTAAACTAGACATACCCAATTCCAGCAACTATTCATTATATGTTAGCCTCCAGTCCCCTAATCATCTTTGTTGCTCTTCTCTGTACTCTTTCTAGAGTCTCAACATCTTTTTTACATCGTGGTTATATCTTTCATTTAATCCTGGCTGATTTGAAAGAAGTGAACTTAGTTTAAGGGCTAGGAAAAATTGCTAAATTCCTGACTATTTTCCAAGAACTGGATTAATCGATAAGGTTGCAGGATGGCAGCTTTGAAGTCAACCAGCCTAAAAGATGGATGCAATCAATTAAAGAGTTCAGTGCCTCTAAGCAGCTGTCAGCTGTAAGGTTTTGTCTGAGCAGGAGAAATGAGCTAAATTTACAATTCTTACATATCGACTACAAATCTAGGATCTGCCAGTAGACCCCAATAACTGCCCATTATGGCTGGTATTTGGGCTAGTTCTTTGGGACTGGGACAGCCTGCCCTAGACTCTTTGGCAGCACCACAGCCTCACCCACATACAAATATTTATTAATTTCTTAGTTGACAATGTTTATTAAAATATAGGTATGTACATCTATGTACACTTTGCTAAAATATTGCTGGAACTACCACAATTCATAACTAATTTTTGCTGTTGATCCACAACATAGGAGCAAACGTAGTTCCTTAGAGGACAAATCATACAAAATACCACAGATGTTTGGCATGAATACTCTATGAATACTCAGGTCCGTGCTATAAATAGAAGATAAAGTATTTCCAAGAATAGAAAGAGGATTATGCAGATCCTCATCAGATAGACTTTATTTATTTATACTCAGATATTCACAGCCTTGTGAATACCATCTACAGTATAGTCTTGAGGTAAAAACAGAATTGGGTATCCTGGGTTAATTGGCAAGGTGTTTTGATGCAGCACCACCTGAAGTAAGATGGCACCGTTAGAATATGAGTGCCCGTTTTAGAATTTCTTCCCAAATGATTATCACAGTGGTTCTCAACCTGTGGGTCGGGACCCCATTTGGGGTCGATCGACCATTTCACGGGGGTCGCCAAGCAAGGGTGTCCGCCATTTTTTTTGTCCGCCATTTTTTTTGTTCGCCATTTTTTCCCCTTTTCCGGCGGGTGCCTTACCTCCCTTGGGCTGGGCCAGCTAGTGGTCGGCCTGCTCCATCTCTGCCGCTTGCCAGCTATGCCTTGGCCGGCGCAGGGGGCGGAACCACGCATGCGTGGCGCTCCTGGGCAGGGAAAGTCCTCGACTTACGACCGGTTGGGTAGTCCTCGACTTACGACTGGTTTAGTCCTCGACTTATGACCGGTTTAGTCCTCGACTTATGACCGGTTTAGTCCTCAACGTACGACCGGTTGGGGTCGCGGCATTAAAAAGGTTGAGAACCACTGGATCAGGTATATACGACAGTAATAGCAATTGCAGTAGCACTTATATACCTCCTCACAGTGTTTTACAGCCCTCTCTAAGCAGTTTACACAGTCAGCCTATTGCTCCCAACAATCTGGGTCCTCATTTTACTGACCTCGGAAGGATGGAAGGCTGAGTCAACCTTGAGTTGGTCAGAATCGAACTCCTGACAGTGAACGGAGTCAGCCTGCAATGCTGCATTCTAACCACTGTGCCACCACGGCTCCTAAGTTAATTAATTAAGGTAATTAAAATATTGGAATCTTAATCAATTCGTGTAGAGAGAGAGAGTGACTGTATATAAGAGCGGTTTGAACTCAAGCAGGGCAACCATGCCTAAGCACATTTATTTACTGCTTTTTACAGTAAAAAAGATAGGCAAAGAGATCACAATAAGCCTTCAGTTATAATCAATGGTTGGGAAAATTGTAACACAAAATTATAGTGAATTTAAATGGCGCACATTTGAATAAACAGCAAATAAATATCATACTTGAAATTGCAAGAAAATAGGGAAACAAACTTAACAAGGCAAATACAAAATAATAAAGGTGATCTGCACAAGTAGCAATTGTCTTTAACGTATTATGGGTGCAACAGCATAAATACAATTCAGAGGATTAGTTTGAGGTTGACTCAGAGGGGGCTGGAAGCAAGAAAGAAAGATGTGGGGGACGACTTGCAACAATTTTCTCAACGCTCCCCTCCCTTAAGTTTGGATACTAACGCTTTGGCCTTATGTTTTTCTCTTTTGAGCAGAATGTTTAGGATAACTGATAACAGTGAGCTAAATAGAATTAGGGTTAGTTTTGTTCTTTTCTCCGTATGTTTGAGGAGATAAAACATATGCTTTGCAGTAAAATGGATTTAGCATATGTACCGTATGGAAATATTTGTGCCAGCTTACTCTTGTTTGGCAAGGACTCACTTAGAAGACTTTGGTGCAGTTCTGGGACAATTTAAAAATGCATTGAGTAGTTGGAGTGAGTTTGGATGAAAGTTACCAAACTAGTGATTGGGAACCAGGTCTTAAGAACGGCCAAAGCAGTGTTTCTCAGCCTTGGGAATTTGAAGATGTGTGTACTTCAACTCCCAGAATTCCCTAGCCATGTTTGGAATTTCGGGAGCTGAAATACACACATCTTCAAGTAGCCAAAGTTGAGAAACACTGAGCTAAAGGAACTGGATATGTTTAGAAGATTGAGATGAGATTGATTAGCAATCTTCAGACATCTCATAGGTCAGTGATGGCGAACCTTTTAGAGACCGAGTGCCCAAACTGCAACCCAAAACCCACTTATGCATCGTCAAGTGCCGGGTGGGTGTGGCCCATTGGCTGGATGTGGCCAATTGGGTGGTCGTGGCTGCGGTGGTAACGACAGACTGGGTGGGACTAAAAAGTTCAATCAATCAATTCCAACTTTGCAAGATCTTTTTTTTCCCGCGAGAAGTTGAAATTGACTGATTGAACCTTTTTTTTTTTTTTTGCACACGGCGGCGGAGGCCTAAAGCGAAAAGGTTTTATAAAACCCAGCTGAAGGCCTAGGACTGGGGCGACAGCGCGCGTGTCCACAGAGAGGGCTCTGAGTGCCACCTCTGGCACCCGTGCCATAGGTTCGCCACCACTGTTATAGGTTGTCATATAAAATTGGAAGTTGGCTTGTTTTGGGTCCTGGGATTGGATCAGAACGAATAGGTTGAAACTAAAGAGAAGTAGACTTGGATCAGATAACAGGAGGAATTTCCCAATAGTTAAGACCCGTTAAGAAGTGGAATACGCTGCCTCATAAAGTGCCATGTTCCTCTTCCACGGACATCTTCGATCAGAGGCTGCATTCCCATCTGTTTGAAATACTGTAGAAGATTCTGCACTAAGCAGGACACTTGATTAGAGCACGTGTAACTGTCCTTCCAACCTACGTCTTGATTCTGTGAACTGAAGTCTTAACATATTTTGTAGGCCACCAAGTTCAGAAAAACTTATGACGTGGTTGATCTTTTTCCTTTTTGTGATCTCTTGTGGTGCTTTCCTTGTCCTTTGTTTTTTTGGAGAATAGAGGGAAAACAAAGGGGGGAAATGTGCAGGTATTTGTGCCTCCTTATTGTCAATTCAGTGAAAATGTACTGTTCCTTAACTCCCCTGAAAATTCTTTATCCGAATGTTCAGGACCCCAAATAAATGTTTCTTGCAGAACAAACAGGCAGAAGAAGTTCCTTACGGAATGAGACATCGCTCATGCTGGGGCATCTGAACTATTTGGAGATGCTTGGTGGCAGCTGATGTTCAGTGAATTATTTCCCATCCGATGACTCAGGGTCAAGTTCACATGAATGGGGCAAAGCTAAATAAAGCACAGCCCCCCCCCCAATTGGTGTTGATATTAGCGAGGCCTTGCTGGAATCAACAGCAGATATGTTGTTTCAAGTCTACTTACAAGCTTCCTCTAAAGTAAGTTTTCCCACCAGTGTGGAGGACTACTTTGAATCTGCAGACGGGGATATGTGCACTCACACACATCCATTTTGTCTGATATCACACACAGCTCAAATGGAGGCTCCTCCTTAATTATTTGCTCTTTTAAAAAAATGTAAGAATACTGAAATTAATATCTCTTTTATGTTTTCATGTCATTATTTAAAAATTCATGTTAGGACTTAGTGAGGGCTCAAAGGTGGAAAGCGATCAGCCCCTCCTGGATCTCTGCATATATGTACTGTATAGGCGGGTGTATGTGTAGGTGGAGAACCAGTTTGGTGTAGCGGTGAAGGTGCTGGCCCACAACCTGAGTTCTGCTCCTCCCTTAGGCATGAAAACTGGTTGAGTGACATTGGGCCAGTCTCAGCCCAACCCACCTCACAGGATTGTAGTTGTGAGGAAAATAGGAAGATGTGGATATGTTAGATATGTTTGCTGCCCTGAGTTATTTGTAAAAATAATAAAGGCATGATATAAATAAATAATGTATCATTGAGTGATAAAAGAGCAGGATAAAAATCTCATAATAAATTATAATACTAGGCGAGTTTGTAAAAGGCTGTTCCCCTAGACCAGGGGTAGGCAACCTTGGCTCTTTTATGACTCGTGGACTTCAACTCCCAGAATTCCTGAGCCAGCCATGCTGAGGGGAAAGGGAGAGGTTTCCAAGCTGAGCCATGCTGGCTCAGGAATTCTGGGAGTTGAAGTCCACGAGTCATAAAAGAGCCAAGGTTGCCTACCCCTGCCCTAGATGGCTCTTATAGGGAGCAGATTTAAAACATCTCCAGATGTTCACATATATCTTTGCTCCCTATTCACCCCACTTTGTTTAACTACAAAATTTAGTTAGATAGGCACACAATGCTGCAAAATAAATATGCGGGCCCTGAGATATTCTGCAAATGGTAAAGGTGACCCAGCCTTCAGCAGATCACAGAAGAGTTGTCCTGACTGGGGCCTTTCAAGTGAATGTTCAAGGAAGGAATCATGTTGAATGAGATCTCAGTTTTGGTCCATACCTGGTCCTGTCTCTGATTGCTTCCCCCATCCTCCCTCCCAAATTATTTCTTCTTTGGGCAGCTGTTTTATAGAGTCATTTTTCATCCCTACATACTGGTAAATAGCAGGGATTCTATAAAAGAAAAGACCCTATAAAAGAGTCCATATAAAAGAGAAGAAACTTAGAACTAACAGTGAGAAAAATTAACCAGTGGAACAACTTGCCTTCAGAAGGTGTAGCTCAGGGGTCCTCAACCTTGGCCACTTTAAGACTTGTGGACTTCAACTCCCAGAATTACTCAGCCAGCTTTGCTGGCTGAGGAATTCTGGGAGTTGAAGTCCACAAGTCTTAAAGTGGCCAAGGTTGAGGACCCCTGGTGTAGCTACTCCATCACTGGAGGCTTTTAAAAAGAGACTGGATGACCACTTATCTAGAATGATATAGGTCTCCTGCTTGAGCAGAGATTGGACTAGAAGACCTCCAAGGTCTGTTCTTATTCTGTTATTCTGTTTAAAAAAAATTCTATATGTAGAAGAAACAACCAAGGGTACATTTAGACCTGAAGCTAAAAACAGCTTGGCTTTTCAGCAGTGCAAGAAACTGCTGAATGCAATGGTAAAATCAACCATTTTCTTTGCTTAGGATTCTCCCTCATAATTCCTTTAACTTTTAAGATGCCCCTGTATGTCTGAAGCTGTAGTCAATAACTGAGACCTGTTCCAGAATCCATAGTTGAAGTCCACACATCTTAAAGTTGCCAAGTTTGGTTTTGGTTTTGTTTTTTAAAAAAACCTTGTTACAGTATATAGGTAGTTCTCAACTTACAACCATTCATTTAGTGGCAAGAAACTGGGGCAAAGCTCACTTAAGAACTGTCTTGCTTAGCAGTGGAAATGTTGGGCTCAGTTGTGGTCACAACTGGAGACTACTTGTACAGATGAGAATGAAAGACTAGCCTATATTGGACTTAATGGCTCAGCTGATGCTTTGAACCTTGATCTGCCTGCTTAGTTGGAAATATTTTAATGCTACACCATGCTGACAATTTTCCAGGGGTTCTTTTAAGACATACGGGCTTCTCCTGCCTTTTTTTTTTCACCTAACCATCTGTTGAGGTGGTTAAATGATGGAGTTCCAAGAATGTCCATGGCAAAGGGGAGGACTTTCTCTATAATAAATTATAATTCTAGTTTAGGCACTCTGAGTGCTGCTGGGAGTTTAGTCTTTCATAAAATGGCTACTCATTATCTGTATTTTCTTACAAAGTTTATATTTGAAGCCCAGAGCCATAATCTTTCTATATAAATAAAAATGTAATTGTTCGTTTGTTCAAAATCTTAAATCTCCGAAAGTTCTTCACCGATTGCTTTGAAATTTTCACACAACGTTGCATTCGAATACGCGCGTGTTTTTATATACCTATATTATATAGATGTCACACCTGTGACAGGTAAAAACATGCTTTTTTTGGAAAAACAGCGCCATCTGTTGGACGTTAAAGCAACACACGCTACGATTTTACGATTCCGTTTCAATGTTTCCGATTTACGATCCATTTACGATTTCAAAATTTCCAATTCTTCCTTTTCCATTTAACCAGACTGAGCCACAGCAACACGTGGCCGGGTACAGCTAGTTCAGTGTTTCTCAACCTTGACAATTTTAAGGCATGTGGACTTCAACTCCCAGAACTCCACAGCCAGCATTGCTGGCTGTGGAATTCTGGGAGTTGAAGTCCACATGCCTTAAAATTGTCAAGGTTGAGAAACACTGAGCTAGTTAGTTACAAAGATAATGATGGGCACCAAAGTTGCTTTGCAGCAAGCATGGTGCAAATTAGGAGAACGGTCTGTAAATTTCTCAAAGAGTCCCGGATACTAATTTGGATACTGCAAACTGAGAATCTTAGGTTTTTTTCTGAAGGATCTGGCCTTGACCTTGTTGCCCTTCTAGACAAAGAGTACTTGAAGGAGAAGGAGAAGCTAGAAATGGACTTGACGGCCCTGCGCTTGACGAATGAGGAACAGCGAAGGCACATTGAGATCCTGGACCAGGCTTTGAACAGCGCCCAAGCCAAAGTCATCAAACTAGAAGCAGAGGTGAGAAGGTTAAGTTATCTCTCGAAAACAGACACTTGTTTTCTTTCCATGGGATTGGTGTGGGTGGACAAATTCTCCTGTTAGTGCTAAGGATGATGGGGTTGGCTTCCAACCCAAACATCAGCATTAAAGGAGATATTTGGACTTAGGACACAGCAACGCTTCTGGGTCATTTGGAATATTTTGACCGAAGAGTCCCAGATGCTTTAATCAAGCTTCTCAAGATCATTTCTCAAATTCCTTCATTATGTTGGTTGTCTTTTGGGTTGCCTTTTTCTGCATCTTTCTGAGTTTGTTTGTTTTGGTATACAGTAATTGGACAGTGCAGAGTTTTTTTTAAGAATAGTCCCATTGGGCTTAGTCGTATCTTCCCATCTGCTAGCATATGTTCTCAGCATTTATTCTTGTGGCTTGAGTAACCCAAAACATAAGGGAGGCCAGGCGTCTACAACCCAGAAAGTATGAAGAGCATCTGCTGAGTAATTTCCGAATCGTATTAAACAAATACAAAAGTAACCCAAATCATACAACAAAAATCATTAAAACACATTAAGAACAATAACATCAATTAAAACCATAAAAAATCATCTGTGAGAGTCAAATCCAATTTAGGAACAGTACCGTTAATAATACTGTGGAGTTTTTGGTGGGCTCTGAGCTTGATTGTTTGCTTGCAGCCATTTTATTACCTTACTACTAGGTAACATCTTCAACCTTGTGAAGCAGCCAGCCAAGCTCAAAGAACACCAAGGACTCCACAGTTCAACCCTGAACTACATATATTCTCTCCTATTAGTGGTGCTAATCCTGTTTTAAATATGTTCTGTGTCACATTAATAACTCCTTATAAAGAGTTTTAGCTATTGGTTTGATTCCCAACTTGCTAAGAAGTTGAAGTTTGTTCCACTAGAACAGTGGTTCTCAACCTGTGGGTCGGGACCCCATTTGGGGTCGATCGACCATTTCACGGGGGTCGCCAAGCAAGGCTGTCCGCCATTTTTTTTGTCCGCCATTTTTTTCCCCTTTTCCGGCAGGTGCCTTACCTCCCTTGGGCTGGCCCAGCTGGTGGTCAGCCTGCTACGCCTCGGCCGGCGCAGGGGGCGGAACCACCCATGCACGGCGCTCCCGGGCAGGGAAAGTCCTCGACTTATGACCGGTTGGGTAGTCCTCGACTTACGACTGGTTTAGTCCTCGACTTACGACCGGTTTAGTCCTCGACTTACGACCTTTTTAGTCCTTGACTTATGACCGGTTGGGGTCACGGCATTAAAAAGGTTGAGAACCACTGCCCTAGAACTAGTTTCCTAGTCATATGAAAGTGGTGTCAATGCTGCTAACATCGGATGTTCTTGCTTTGACAACATAGGGAGATGCAGCCTTTTTCTCTCCTATGCTTTACTCTTAGAATTAGATGATACTGGGGGGGGGGGAAGAAGATTGTGATGAGAGTTAGTTAGACATAACAATTCAGGGGCTTTTGAAATAAGAGATGATAAAGAAATGGCGGGTTGGAGAACGGGAGGGAAAGCTTGCATTTCAAACTAATTGGAGAATGTGATTTATGACTGTAAATTAGGGGAGTGAATTGTGCTTTGATACTATGTGTTTAGGGGAGGGGAATTCAGATTTCAGCTTCGACCATGTAGGTGCCGAAGCTATGCTACTCCAATAAAGATTCTTTAAGGTAAACAATGCCTTGAAGTACTTTGAAGAGTTTCATTTGTCGGAACCATGACCAATGGCTAGAGCTGTTTTAGACCCTCAAAGTAGACTGGGATTTCATACTATCACACATGGTTGGTGAATGGATACCTTGCCAGCTAATCCATAAACTACGTCTAGAGTTTAGCACAGCAGCTGTGTAACTTGACAGTAACAATTATATTTAAAGACGCTTTACAATTAGAAAGGAAAATACCCTTATCTAGGTTTCCATTATTTCAGAAATTACATACAACATTCATTTTAATTCGCTTCCCAGCTGGAGCAGGAGATGAGAGGGAGCTTTCACAAAGATTAAGAGACTGAAGCTACAGTTCACAAGCTGGAAAGGAGCACCATATCCCCCCCCTTTTCACGAATATACACAGACTAAAGTTCAGACATGAATGGGTTGCTGTTGCTATCCGAGCAAAGCCATGGCTTATATGAGCCTCAGTGAATTGAAAATACTGAATGAACTATAAACAAACCATATTGGGATTTAGTATGGGATGAACCATTTCCAAGATCTCTAAGCTATTTTGAACCAAAAGCCAACTCTTTCTTTCTTTTTTCCTGCATACACATGCAGTCTTGCATAACAGCACGGTCACTGTTTTCAGCCCCATATATTTTTCCCAATAAAATTTCTTTTCTGCTGCTCTCATTTCCTTGCTCTGGATTGTACTGACAGGTGGGTTGGCCAGAGAGTCCTCTGTTTTGAGGAGAATAAAAGTTCTTAATCGTTGGAAGCATTTCATTAGAATTATTCCTCTTGGGCAGCGGTTCTCAACCTATGGGTCGCGACCCCATTTGGGGTCGATCGACCATTTCACGGGGGTCGCCAAGCAAGGCTGTCCGCCATTTTTTTCCCCTTTTCTGGCGGGTGCCTTACCTCCCTTGGGCTGGGCCAGCTGGTGGTCAGCCTGCTCCGTCTCTGCCGCTTGCCAGCTACGCCTCTGCCGGCGCAGGGGGTGGAACCATGCATGCGTGGTGCTCCCGGGCAGGGAAAGTCCTTGACTTACGACCGGTTGGGTAGTCCTCGACTTATGACCGGTTTAGTCCCTGACTTACAACCGGTTTAGTCCTCGACTTACGACCGGTTGGGGGTCGCGGCATTAAAAAGGTTGAGAACCACTGCTCTTGGGGATATTGAGGTGAACTTACTGTATTGTACTGGAGGTCAGACAAAGTGACTCCCGTCCCTGAGTTTCTGTGATTCTGCCTCCAGCTACGGAAGAAGCAAGCGCATGTCGAGAAGGTAGAGAAGCTCCAGCAGGCCTTGACCCAACTTCAGGCAGCCTATGAGAAGCGAGAGCAGATGGAGCATCGGTTACGCACCAGGCTGGAAAGAGAGTTGGAATCTCTGAGGCTGCAGCAGGTGAGAAATTGAGGGTGAATCTTTGGTCCCCTGGAGTGATTTAAGGTGCTGTCAGATCAAAGGCCGCATGACCAGAACATAAAAGAGATATTAATTTCAATATTCTTACATTAAAAAATAGCAAATAATTAAGGATGAGCCTCCATTTGAGCTGTGTGATACCAGACAATAGGCTGACATTGTAAACTGTAAACAGAGAGTGGAGTAAAGCACTATGGGGTGGTATATAAGTCTAAGTCAGTGTTTCTCAACCTTGACAATTTTAAGGCATGTGGACTTTAACTCCCAGAATTCCACAGCCAGCAATGCTGGCTGTGGAATTCTGGGAGTTGAAGTCCACATGCCTTAAAATTGTCAAGGTTGAGAAACACTGGTTTAAGTGCTATTGCTATTGCTAAGAGAGGATGGGGGTGGTTTGTATTTCTGCTTGAAGCTAACAGGTTATATATATTTGCCAGCTAACAAAAGTAATTGGTGGAATCAAACTGTGGTTAGGGATCCTGGCTAATAAAACGTGTTGTAAATGTAATTTGCTGGATTGCCCCTGGGTTTTCTAGAAATGAGATGAGAGAGGACAGATTGCACATACCTTGTTTCTGAGTTTGTGTTTGGAACCATTGCTTGATTTTCCACTTGAATATAATCTATTCTTTCTCTGAAAATGACTAGGATTGGTCTGCTTTGATAATTTATAGGCTGCCTGATTCCCAGGGGCTCTGGGAAGTTAATCTGACTTGTCTTATCAGCTGAACCCAAATGGATAAAGCTGAAAGAACATTCAAACTACATTTTGACTTTGGCACCATTATCACATCTGATATATTTTAAATGGGTTGCCTTTTGCCTAGCATAAGTTGAATACAAACATGATTGTTCATAATTTTTTAAAGGCAAGGCATATAAAGGTGTTTCTGTTTCAGCTTTGAAAACTGCTTTGTAATAGTTATTATGTCATGTGAAGTGTACCTTGTAATGCATTAGTTGATTGATTTTTGTCCATGTCTAGAATTGTTCCATGAACTATCCTAGAACAGTGATGGCGAACCTTTTAGAGACCGAGTGCCCAAACTGCAACCCAAAACCCACTTATGCATCGTCGGGTGCCGGGTGGGTGTGGCCCATTGGTTGGGCGTGGTTGCGGTGGTAACGGCAGACTAGATGGGACTAAAAAGTTCAATCAATCAATTCCAACTTTGCAAGATCTTTTTTTTTTCCACGAGAAGTTGAAATTGATTGATTGATTGAACCTTTTTTTTTTTTTGCACACAGCAGCGGAGGCCTAAAGCGAAAAGGTTTTATAAAACCCAGCTGAAGGCCTAGGACTGGGGCGACGGCACGCGTGCCCACAGAGAGGACTCTGAGTGCCGCCTCTGGCACCTGTGCCATAGGTTCGCCACCACTGTCCTAGAACCTCAATAGGCTCCTCCTACAATTTGGATGAGGCTGCATTGTTAATGTCCTGGGTAAAAGTTTGGAGACAAAGGGACATTGTAGTATGCAACATAGGGTGAGGAATGACTTCCAAGGTTAATTTTCCCTTTAGAAAATTGCATTGATAATATGATTTTTCATGAAACTGAGTCAGGACTAAGGTCACTGAAAGCAATGAAATATGACTTTATTGCCATATTTTAAGTGATATAAGGAGACCATGTATGTTTTCTGTGGAGTAAACAATAACAAGCATCTTCTTTTCGGAGCTGTAGAACCAATTATTTTTTTAAAAAATGGGTTTCTCCTTTGCTGGATGTAACCAATGACTAGATAGTCATCTGTCAGGACTGCTTTAATTTAATTTCTGCATTGATTGAAAATTGGGATCATTGGCCAAAATGGATTCTTCCAACTTTATGATTCTATGATAAGCTATTGAATTCAATGGGATATACTGCAGAGCAGATATTACCTGATGACACTCCTGGTCATGACTACTTTTGGTGGGACGAGGGCCAGAGGTCAAATGTATTCATTATTTCCACTTTTACACTGCCCATTACTACACATCTCTATATTCTCTGTATAAGAGCATAACACTTAAAATAAAATTCCAGTACCATTCCAGAAGAAAAAAAAACCCCACAGTTTCCTTACATTCAATCCAGTGTATATCCCAAACATTTGAGTCTGGTGCCTATGGAATAAGCCAGATTCTCCAGCACTTGGAGATGGAGAATCCACCAATGGGTTTAGACTGTATTCCTGCCCAATCAGATCAAGTCAGCCAAAGTTGCCATGCCTGTCCTGGGTCATAGATACCCAATCTTGACTTGATCTTGCCCAGGACAGTGCTTTCTTGAAGACCTACAAGATCAGGGCTGTTCAGACTTCGGGCGCAGGGGGGAACTGCTGTTCCAGAGATCAGGTACAGCAACAGAGAAGGTATACTTCCTGGGTTGACAGGAAGGTGACATTGTTTAATTAAGGGACCTGAAGCATGCCAACCTTGCTAGAACATGGCCAGGCATACCGATAACCACTTGCACTGCTGCATTCCAGACCAGTTATAGCTTCAGAGTGATCTTCAAGATTCACTTTCAATCAGTCAATCAAATAATTAATGTTTTACCAAGAGAGTAAAGTTTTGCTTAAGTCCACATGCATGATGACTCAGACACAACTCATTTCCAGTAAGGCCTCCTGATTCCAGAAAGGGCACAGGTAGGGCACCAGACAAATCTGGGTAAAGGTGTTCCTAATCCCAGCTGCTACTTGATTCTGAAGTTAAAATCTATATAAATAAAAATGTAAATGTTTGTTTGTTCAAAATCTTAAATCTCCGAAAGTTCTTCACCGATTGCTTTGAAATTTTGACACAACGTTGCATTCGAATACGCGCGTGTTTTTATATACCTACTATTATATAGATGTCACACAGGTGGCATCTTTTCCATTTAACCAGACTGAGCCACAGCAACGCGTGGCCGGGTACAGCTAGTAAATAAATAAATCTCTAGCTTGTATCCTAGTTCTGTCTTGGGAAGCACCTTCCCATCCAGTCATTGGTATGTCCCTGGAACTGGACGGTCCGTGCTCTTACACCCACTTGGTCTCACCAGAGTTGAGCTTCAACCCGTTTCTCTTCAGACTCCCATAGGCTCCAAGTATAGTAGCAATCTTTTGTCTTCGTCGCTTGGTTGGTTCAGGGTCAAGATCAGCTGGACTGAGGAGGTAGAGTTTGCCATGTTCTGTCAAATGCTATGAATATCTTGAGATCTGGAAAGACGATGCAATAATGGAAACCTTTCCCCGTAGGGAGCCAATATTGAGACTGCTGTTGAAGTGCTATTTATGTACTTTGGCGGGCTTCGTTCCAAAAACCAGAAATACTTTCCCGCAGGCTGTTTTTCAGGTTATATCTAATTCTTTTCCTGGTATAATTGACTGGAAAAGTGCCTTTATAATTCAGTGAAGTGTACGCAGTGAAAAAAAATACCTACTGTAAGTGTGCCAAAATTGTAGGGAAATCTAAGGGGCATTGTATGGGGGGAAAAGTCATTGTGAGCATAAACCAGACATGTCAAACACAAGGCCCGGGGGCCGGATGCGGCCCGCGAAGTGGTTTCATGCGGCCTGCGAAGCCATCCTGGAAACAGTGAGGGAATGGCCCCCGCTGCCTTGACCCTGGCCCAGGCCGGCCGGGAGCCAATGTACAATTTTGTGGTGGCCATCTATGCTGAAATGCATTCAGTCTTAGCTCCACAAGGCCGTCCAGAAACAGCGAGGAACCAGCCCCTGCCACGTCGGCCCCGCCCCCTGGGTGCATGCTGGGGAGGTGTCACCCTTTGTGAGGAATGAAGAAATGGACCATGCCTTGGCGCTTGCCCCGGTCCCACCCCCTTCTGCCAGAGACCCTCAGAGCTGTCCCACTCCTGCCCAGGCCCCCACAGGCACCCTTGACGTGAACGACGTAGAGCTGGCCATGCCCACCAGTAGGCCACACCCACTCCATCCACGCCCATCCAGTAGGCCGCACCCACCCTGGCCACACCCACCTGCCCGCCCCCGAGGGCAACCGCAATGCTGATGCGGCCCTCAATGAAATTGAGTTTGACACCCCTGGCATAAATGGTCTGTCTTGCATATCTTTTAATTTTCTGACTGTGTTGGCCCACTGGTGCATATACTGATTAATTTCTAAGGGCAGTGTTCCTCAACCTTGGCAGCTTGAAGAGATACCAGATGGATCTGTGAGCTCCTTGCCTGTTAAATTTATACTAAAGTGGTTTAAGAGCATCTTCCTTTATTTCAGAAACAAGGGAACTATCAAGCAGCCCCTGTGCCCGAGTACAACGTCCCGGCCTTAATGGAGTTAGTGCGGGAGAAGGACGAGAGGATTCTGGCTTTAGAAGCTGACATGACCAAGTGGGAGCAGAAGTACCTCGAGGAGAGCACAATCCGGCACTTTGCCATGAGTGCTGCAGCCACAGCTGCGACAGAAAAGTAGGATTTATTGACTTTTTAAAATGTATTTATTTATTCACCAAAATGTATAGAGATGGCTGAATGATAGGCTTTTTCGGTGTTCCATGGGTGTTGGGTGAAAGTCAAGAGCTTTTGAGATCTTTTTTTTAAAGCTCACCATAGACCTCTTGTGAGATATTGGGAGAGTTGGTTGTCTCATGTGATTATGGAGATTTGTAAGTGCACATATATTTCCTTCCTTCCTTCCTTCCTTCCTTCCTTCCTTCCTTCCTTCCTTCCTTCCTTCCTTCCTTCCTTCCTTCCTTCCTACCTACCTACCTACCTACCTACCTACCTACCTACTCAGAGTCTGTAGCATCGCCTTTTCGCAGCCACTTGGACAAGATTGATCCGTCTGTCTGCTGTCATCGCTCTTCTCACTGGGGACATTCAGAGAGTGGGGGGGGTTGGGGGGGGCTGCAGACTCCCAGAGCATCAGGAGCCCAGAGGGTGAAGGGAGAAAGATGGAGGAGCAGCTTTGTAGCTCAGGATTGGACTGTGTGGTCCTTGTGGGGTTTGTTCTCTTTTTCTATACAATATAACCCCACTCGCTTTAGCCCTGAGGATGTTCCCTAGTGGGGTCATGAAACGTCTGCAAGAAAACCGTCAAGCTCAGAGAACCCCAAGGACCCCACCGTCGTTATCCTCCTCCTCCTCTCCACAACTCCCCTCCCTTCTAGCACTGATGATGTTACCTAGTTGGGTAATGAAATGTCTGTAGGAAAACAACCCAGCTCAGAGAACCCCAAGGACCGCACAGTTCTCCTCCTTCTTCTCCTCCTCTTTGCAAACTCACCTCTCTTCTAGCACTGATGATGTTGTCTAGTTTGGTCATGAAACATCTGCAAGAAAACTGTCCAGCTCAGAGAGCACCCAGGACCTCACAGTCGTCGTCGTCTTCTTCTTCTTCTTCTTCTTCTTCTTCTTCTTCTTCTTCTTCTTCTTCTTCTTCTTCTTCTTCTTCTTCTTCTTCTTCTTCTTCTTCTTCTTCTTCTTCTTCTTCTTCTTCTTCTTCTTCTTCTTCTTCTTCTTCTTCTTCTTCTTCTTCTTCTTCTTCTTCTTCTTCTTCTTCTTCTTCTTCNCCTCTCCTTCTTCTTCTTCTTCTTCTTCTTCTTCTTCTTCTTCTTCTTCTTCTTCTTCTTCTTCTTCTTCTTCTTCTTCTTCTTCTTCTTCTTCTTCTTCTCCTTCTCCTTCTTCTTCTTCTCCTTCTCCTTCTCCTTCTCCTTCTCCTTCTCCTTCTCCTCCTCCTCCTCCTCCTCCTCCTCCCTTCTTCTTCCTTCCTTCCTTCCTATTTCTAACCACCCATCTCCCTCACAGAGGGACTCTTTGGTAGTTAGTGGAGGCCATTAGGATTGTCATGACACACCTGGGCACTGCATTGCCATCCCGGGATGCCAATGGCAGAGGAAGTCCCAACCCTTTATGAGTAAGTACCCCACTGAGCACCCGGAGGCAACTAGGTGTCACCCATGGTCTCTTTGGCAAAAGAACCACACAGAAGAAGCATGAAAGACATTCCATTTTGAGAGACAAGAAAGCTTCCCCGACTAGAGAAGCAGATAATTGGATCGATGAAAGGAAGGTTCTTGTATTTTGATCAAGTCAGATAAAAGCTTTTTTGGGGGGTTTTTTTCTGTTGCCAGAGAGACTTTGGCCACCAGCCACTCCCGCAGTGGCAGCTACAGCGAGAGCTCTCTGGAAGTCCGCATATGGCAGGAAGAAGAGGCGAAGATGCAAAAGAACCAGAAGTGTCAGGACATGGAATACACGTAAGGAACAGCTGTGAAATAGCTGCTGTGGGATTTGAATGATGCTTTGCAGCGCTGAGGTTCCCTGCAGTGCTTAATAAGAATGTTCAGCTTTTGGAATACAAGGCCCTAAACCACTTGGGAACCAGATCCTGAACGTGCTGCATTCATGGTAGAAAACTGGTTGGTTGCCAAGGGTTAGAAAAGGTCCTCTGTCTATACTTTGACTAAGAGTCCTCTTGTGGTTACAGGGCTTCTTTAATGAATGCTCTCTACCTGGAAGATCCTAAAGCATCTTCTCTTGCATTTGGGGGGCACCAAGTGAAGACCCATCTCTTCATTCAGGCCTTTCTTGTATTAATGCTGTAGAACAAGGGTCTTCAAACTTGGCCCTTTTATGACTTGTGGACTTCAACTCCCAGAATTCCTCAGCCAGGCACGCATGCCTGGCTGAGGAATTCTGGGAGTTGAAGTCCACAAGTCATAAAAGGGCCAAGTTTGAAGACCCCTGCTGTAGATAGAAGAATGGTTTTGTTTAGCTTTCTTTTCCACCCTGTGTATATTTTTTTTCACACAGTTTCCTTTGGTGTATTTCAATCATTTTTTTTTCCAATATTTTATTAAAGTCTATTATAAGATGAAAATACAGAAAGAAGCAAACGTTAGAATGCTAAGGGAAAGAAGAAGGGTGCAAAGAGAAAGAAAGGGGGAAAAAATAGGGATTTTCAACTTTTTCAGTGTAGTAGAATACAAAAAAGAGAGAGAGCACAATTTCAACCTTTTGTTTTACATTTCTAAACATTCGAAGCCATTTCTATTATAACGAAATTATCCTATTCATCAAAACCAAAAATCAAAAGTTTTATTTTTTTTTATTTTGAGCAAAAAGTCCAGAAGTGGTTTCCAAGTAGAAAAAAAAAACTAGATAAATTCTTCTCTTTAATTAAAACAGTCAATTTGGCCATATCTGCCAATTCCATCAACTTTACCATCCATTCTTCCATATTTTAATCATTTCTGAATGTTTTGATATACTGGTTGGCAATGATATAGTAAATAAATGATGCCTACATATCCCAGTCAGGCCATAACATTAATATTGCATCAGGAACAGAGTGTATTGGAACATTGTATTCATCTGTTTCCCACCTTCTTCCATGTATACAAACCAAGGATGTGCTTACATGACAGTGTCTCCAACTAGCCAACCACATTTTAGACTCACGACCCTGTGGTTGTTTCATGGTTTCATGCATTGTGTGAATTGAGAAATGTCAATTAATAATATAAACCACTGTGCATTTCACAGTAGATGCTGCTATGTTATCCATGCAATAGGAGGAAGGTTTGATGGGTAAATCTACTCTATAGCAAATAGCATCTGTTGTGATGCAAATTTTAGAAAATTTTGGGAAACTCTGTGGTCATCTTTAGGATTACCCTCTTAATGATGACTGCAAGAGGAGGGGGCAGACCAGACTGTCCATTTTTGCTCTTCTTCGCATGAAAGAGCTCTCAATGTCAGCCATTCAAGATAGGTCAGATCAGGAAACAGATACCACAAGAACTACTGGAGGTATATTTTATTGTTATAGGAAATAACAGAATGTTCAAGTTTCTCTTATACTAAAGATAATCAAGAAGTGACAATCCTGAGTTTCTCGTCCTCTCCTGTCTTTCTCGGCTAAGTTCATGTTTTCAGTAACACTTGTTGTACTCCTTTTTCAAGGTTATCTGAGTACTCCTGTACAAGGGGACAGCCCCTTGATAGGATGGTACCAATCAAATGTCTTCTATACAGAAAATATTTTGTCCGTGCTGAATACATTGCAGACTGGTTGAGCTGCACAGTCACATCCACGGGGGATTAAGCCACTCCAGCTTGGTTATCTTTGCAGCCATGCACAAATGTGGAAGTGGTGTGTTTGTGTGCTTTTAACAAATACTATGGCTTAAATCCGCTAAATTGATCATGGCAGGATTAAAGGAAACCCTAACCGGGATCAGAAGGATACAACATTTGAATCTAGAGTGAGAAAAGTGTTTTGGTCCAAATCCCTACCCAGTTCTAGCTGGGGCCAAGTGACCTCTTTAAGTCTTACTTCTACTTCAATAATACTATTACCTCTGCGTTTACGAGTGTAATAAATTACTACTATTACCAGAATAAAGAATCTGTATGCAAAAATCATCGAGAAAGATGCCATGATCAAGGTTCTTCAGCAGCGATCCAGGAAAGATGCCAGCAAAGGAGATTCAGCAAGTTTGCGGCCCGCTCAGTCGGTGCCATCCATAGCTGCGGCTACGGGCACACACTCCCATCAGACCTCCCTGAACCACACCCAGGGCGTTGAGGAGAAGAAAGAAGAAAAGTCTTGGAAAGAAAGCATTGGTGAGCTTCAATTCATATGTGATACGAAGCCACAATTGTTGAATGAGCCAGTTTTGTTCAGACAATATGCTAAACCCTGTATTGTCTTTTGTCCACTGCAGTGGCTAGGTTCATATAACTTGTTTAGTTCAACTCTTTATCATTCAGTAGAACATGGGAACCCACCCTTGGTGTGTAAACTGGGGCCTGGCGAAGACCTACTAATGTTCTCCATTTTTTTAGAACAGGGAGTCTCAACCTCATCAACTTTAAGATGTGTGAACTTCAACTCCCAGAATTCCCTATTCAGCTTTGCTGGCTGGAGTGTCCTGGGTGTTGAAGTCCACATATCTTAAAATGGCTGAGCTTGGGGAACACTGTCTTAAAGGAAGATAAATGTTGTACTTCACCCATATAATATTGCTCCATGCACATTTGGGATGGCTTGCTGTTTTTCCCAGTTATGTTTTGATGAAAACTTTTCTTGATTTATTTAGTCAACAATTTTATGAAGTCTTACTTTTAAGAAATTTGGTAAACTATTTTAAAGATCAATCAGTGGTAAATATGGCAGTAGAAAAAGTGATAACAACAACAACAACAACAATAATAATAATAACAATAACAACAACAATAATAACAATAACAATAATAATAAAGTTGGGAGGGACCTTGGAGGTCATCTAGTCCAACTCCCTGCTCAGGCAGGAAACCCTACATCATCTCGGACAAATGGCTGTCCAGTCTCTTCTTAAAAACTTCCAGTGTTGGAGCATTCACCGCTTCTGGAGGCAGGTTGTTAGGTTGTTCCACTGGTTAATTGTTGAAATAGGATAATTATTGAAATAGGATATTTTATTTGCCAGATATCCTGCTTCAATATTGTGTGGTGGCCAGAGATTTACTGCATCGCTATTGGCTCATACTTTCAGCAAAGTAATATACAAAGTTATGAAGGTTTAAATGGCATAACCAGATGCACCCCAGTGACAGTTGTAAGGGTGTGTGTCTTTAAAGTATGGTTTTGGGTCACGCAACATGCTAAATCAGGGGTGGGCAACTATGGCAACTTTACAACCTGTTGACTTCAACTCCCAGAATGTAGTCATAGCTGGCTCACAAATTCTGGGAGCTGAAGTCCACAGGTGATACACGGTATGTTTGAACAAATAATCCAAATTATGTACCAACAGAAAATAATATTTGTTTCTCAGGATTTAACTATGGAGTCCTTGCTGTTCTCTAAGCTTCGATGTTTTCTTGCCAAACTTTCCTTACCCAACTAGGTAACATCTTCAGTGATAGACAGTCCTAGCACTGAAAATGTTATCTAATTGGGTAATGAAACATCTGCAAGAAAACAACCAAGCTCAGAGAGCACCAAGGGCTCCACGTCTTATTATGGCTTAACACAATGGCCTTTTTCACACAATATGCTAAGACGATAACATAGTCTCCAAAGCACATGTCCCAAATTTTATTTAGGTTTTGGACTCTATTGCCTGCATACTTCTTTGGGCCTCAGGTCTCTTTATATCTGGACTAACTCTTTGGAACTTATTTTCAGCTTTCCCTACGAAGCTAGAGTTTTTCCCTAGGGCTTTGCTTACTTCTGCCATATGGGCAGTTTTCCCTTCTTCATAAATTGCTGCTGGAAGCATTCCACTAGCTTTGTTCCCAGAGCAGCCAAAAAGTTTGTGAACATTCAGCCCTGTCACATCATTTCAGCCAGTTTGCATCACTGCCATGAGTATAATGTGGTTGGGAAAAAAAATGACCTGGCTCCTTTCCAGCCATTGCTTTTAGAAGGAGCCAGCAAGTTTCAGAAACATCAGCATATTTAACTAGGATTGGTTGTGAGAAATATATTTTAACAAAGACAATAATGGATGATGGGCAATATATATATATATGCTACTTACTGTATTTGTTTAGTATTGTTTACAGGAATTTGCATAAAACAGTGAGGTTAAAAACATTGAGAAGTGTGACTATTAGTAATCATTAAGTGTGCAGGTTAGTGCTCTCAAATAACTCCCATTTTGTTCCTTCTTTAATGGATATTAGTTAGAATAACCAGCAGAGTGTCATCTATATAGGAAGCTTAACAATATATTTCTGTCCTGGCTTACCACTCCAGTAAAAAGCCAAGATCAGGAAGCCAACTAAAACCCCACGCTTCTAATTCAGGTTTGTGAGAGTCGAGGCAAGCCAGGAATCCAGGTTTAGACAATTAAGTTTCGATGGCAGACTAGATCTTGGGTTCTGTAGTCACTCTTGTTCGTATATTGCTTATTGTTGGTCAGACTCCCAGGCATTTTAGCTTACAGTTTTGTGTACTTGCAACCATCCTGCATAGAATGTAGCTTTCCTGCATTAGATGTTGCAAAATTTAGTCTGTATGCTCTTTGAGGAAGCCATGGTAGAAATATAATGAAAAATATCTTGGTGTCCATGTTGTTATTTTCTTGAAGGTTTGTTGTTAGGAAAAGACACCTCTGAACACTCATCCATCCCTTCGTTGACCCTTCCAACTCCATCTTTGTCCTCTACAATGTCTTCATGGCCGGTCACCATCTGCCATGCTAAAATGGGCAGCAAAGACAACAGCACTCAGACAGACAAAGGCACGGAGCTTTTCTGGCCCACTGCAGCTTCTTTTCCGGGGAGAGGAAAACTGAGTCATTCTTCTGGCAGCAGTCCGGCCCTGAGGCACATCGCAGGCAAAAATGCTGGGGAAAGACCAGGTGAGCAGTTCCAATTGCATTGATCCCGAGAACGTGACTGGCAGGATCTGTCAACTTGCGATTTGTAGAGTTCCGAGTCTTGAAAATTTGCTCCTGGGAAAAGCAAAATGCAAGTAGTGCTCGATTTATAACTATAATTATAGTTGTAAGTAATTATACAAGAGCCATGGTGGCACAGTGGTGAGAAATCAGTATTGCAGGCTAATTCTGCCGACTGCCAGCAGTTCGATCCTGACCAGCTCAAGGTTGATTCAGCCTTCTGTCCTTCTGAGGCTGGTAAAATGAGAACCCAGATTGTTGGGGGCAATACGCTGACTCGGTAAACCACTTAGAGAAGGCTGTAAAGCACTGTGAACTGGTATAAAAGTCTAAGTCCTATTGCTATTGCTGTTGTAAGTCATGCCAATCATTCAGTGAGTCATCACATGACCAATCCGATTTTATGACTGTTTTTGTGGCAGTCATTAGCAAATTACCGTGGAGATTAAGCAAATCCACCGTCGGTAAGCAAACCTATTGTTCGCAATAGCCATTTTTTTATTTTGGGGGGGCCAGAAAGCGATAGTAAATGCAGTTTCCTAATCGCGGCCATGTGACTGTGGGACATTGCAAACAGCTATAAATGCAAGCTGGTTGCCGAGCAGCGAAAATACAGATGTGATGAGGGGGGTACTAGCTGTTGGAAGTTCAAATCTGGATCGTAAGTACCTTTTTGGGGGTCTGTTGTAAATTCGAAAGGTTGCTAAGTGACCAGCCATAGGTTTAGGACTACCTGTAAAGCAAAATTCAGAAATCATCCATTTTCTACTCACTGATGCTTTCCATCTTGGAAAACTCTCACCTTTTACTTAGCTGATTAATCTCTTACTGACCTGTAGGAGTTAAAGGGGCTCTGTGTTTCTTTAATTTGCTTCCCTGTGGCCCCTCCTAGGAATGTTTCTTCTATTCCTTTACACATTGTTTTGAATGGAAGCCGCTTGTACCCAAGAGCTTTACATCCAGCAGGGTTAAGGCACATTTTATTTGGCAGTGCCTAAGGCTGCCATCGCCCGAAAGAACGGTCTTAAAACCGGATAGCAAAAACAAATACCTGTAGATTTCTGTAGATCAGCTTCTATACTAAACACGGGTAATTTGGCCCTAAAACCTGACCCATTCTCTACATTTTTTTCCCTCCTAGAAAACTCTTCCAGCTGTGGGAAACTCCTGGACATCAGCAAAAGCAGAGTTAGCAATCTGCTTCATAAGCCTGAATTTCCAGATCCAGATATGATGGAAGTCCTTATTTGAAGCCGTGGAGCTTTTGCTGCTTTGGGTAAAAGCACCTCATCACCCTGGAGAAGAGGGGGGGGGTTGTTGTTTTCATTGCTGTGCTTGAGTTAAAAACTCTGAAGGAGAACCACAAAGTTGGACCAAGAAAGTTCGAACCTAGAAGAAAACTCCAGGTGGATCTGAGAGTTGAGGAGGGCAGAGGACTCGGAATGTTGGAGATGGAACATTTGGGATGTCTGCTATGTACAGTCAACCATGATGTGGATTTGGGGGGAGGGGATGGCAAGATGTTATAGGAATAAGAGGATGTTTCTATGGAGGATGTGTTTGATGTTCTCTTACCACCTAAGTAGTGACATCATTGGGTGGCATGTTGCCTACGTGGAATTTTTTTGAGTTGTATTTGCGATTCTTGGGCGAGGGAGCAGGACTTCCAAATATCATTGTTTTAGCTGCTACCTTCTTCCTGCTTTTCCTCTTTGATTCCCCCACCATCTGGGTTTGCTTCTACTGTATGTCAAACATGCCGGCGTAGATCTCTGGTAGAACCAAATTTAGACAGGTTAATCTTAAATTGTTTCCGTGATCTCCGTAGTTGTCTCTGTCTACAGCGGGTCCCTGAATGCTGTTGACCACAGAGGAAAATGAGTTGACATCCAGGTGCTCAATACATGAGAGCCATGACTTGCTGGTCTTATTCCATAAGATCATCTGCATTACGAAACTAAGCAATCAGTGAGCAAAACAACCAAATGATCACCAGCTCCTTCAAATTTAATTTATTCTGTCAGATCCCAGCTCATTTAGGCCTAAAGTTAATAATCCCAGAAGCATTGAATGGGATTTCTTCCTTGGATTCATAGCAAGGATGCACCCACAGCAAAATTCCCAAAGGGGACCGGTCTCTGTCCAGAGGTTATGCATCTGAACAGTCGTGTGTGAAGATTGTGCCTCTTTGGATCAGCTTTGCTGACTTGCCAGTAGATCTGTTTATGATCCTGCTGCCTAGGTAAGATTTCTTTGAGCCTCTGCTGTAAGCTGGATTGTCGAAAGAGTCCTAATATAATATAGGAAGTAGTGAACACAATGGTCCCTTTTGGATGGGGCCAAATGTGCCGTTGTTTTTGTATTCTCCTCTGTTGTGTAGTTTAGTGCTTGTTACGCTGTACTCTTTCTGACGAAAAGTGTGTACATTGGTAAGAGTCCTTAGTCCATGTAGCAGTGTTCTGGTTTTGCTCTGACTCGTACATTTGCCTCTTCATCGGATGTTAGGTGAAGAAAAAAAGTCTCCCAAGACTTGTAGTAAATGCTACTTCCCGGTGTATCTGTAGATAGCAAGGTAATGCAAACCTCTTTTTCCTCATTCCCTTCCTCTATAGACCAGGAGACAGTCTTAACTGCCTTTTGTTACGGGCATGTTTATCCAGGACATGGAGCTCCTTGTTCTCTGTGGCAAAAAGCCCCAAATGCAGCACTCTATGAGTCCAAGTTATGTTTGATCCAAAGCATAAATAGCTGGCCTCAAATTCTGACTGTGGTCTTGCTCAAATTTCTCTCCATGGACTATAAGGCAAAGATGTACACCAGGACTGTACGTAGCGTTGCTTACTCAGTGCTGTTTCTGAGGTGCAAAACATGGCAATCTAGAGGGGAATTAGCCTAAAAGTTGCTTCTTTATATTATATATATGCAGTGCTTTTTTTCTAAAAAAAAAAAAAAAAAAAAAAAGGTGCCGGAACTCACACACGTCATACAACCCGCCTTGCCTACCCTACAAGGTTCCATCCAAAAAAGGTGCCGGAACTCCGTTCTGGGCGTTCTATGAGAAAAAAAGCCCTGTATACTGTATATGTATGTACATTTAGACATACATACCTTGCCACATTTCATTAAAGACCAGGCCTTCTATTAATTACCTTTCCAACAGTACATTTACATCCAAGATTGCACAGTTTGCACACAAAGGGCGAATTGTTACCATTCTTTTGTGTGCAAACTGCAGGTGGCTTTCCCAAGCCAAAAGAATCGGGACATTAAAATCTTGTTAATCTGGCTGCATGCAAAAAATAATGTCACTGTAGATTTTTTAGTGCCAAAATATGTGGCCCAGGAGGATCCCCGGAGTCTAAGCAAAGTAGGCGGGGCCAAAACTTAGGGGTCTTTTTTTGCATTGGGAGGGCTGGTTAGCTAGATTTTATAGGCAAGTTGCAAACATCTAATATCCCTGCCCACTTTTCCCTTAACCAACTTGGTGAGGTCATCAAGCTGATGGAAGTTCACCCCCATTCCAGCCCATCCTATTAGAGCATAATTTATCTACAGTATTGCATTTGTATAGTGGCTGCTATCCTTGTAAACCAGTGTTTTCTAGCTTGCTCATACCTGATCTATGTGCTGCTGCAATGTTATCCTGCCTGACATTTATAGCGTTATATAGTTATATTCCGGGCAAATGGATTGTAAGATAATGTCAATTTCCCCTGTTGTGTTTCTGTTGTGCAGATTGGCTACTGCAGAGCATTGTACAGCTTGAATGTGTTTGTATAGATACATAGCGTCTCATCTTCCATAACAAATATGGGTGACTCTGGCCAGCCAAAGAATTTTCTCCTGTTCTCTGCTGCTTACATTTGTGCCTTAATATTGTATATAATAAATGTATACAACTACAGTTTACAAATCATTTCTTTGATGCAAACTACACCCTAGTACATCACAAAGATTGGCAATATAGTGCTTGTGGAAAGCATCATGTTCCAAAACATGCCAAACCATAAATCTTGGTTAGCATATTATAATTGTGTTGATATAATGTGCTCTGCTCAAAGTGGACTTTAATGGCCCACTCTGCAGCACATTTTATGATAGAAGAATTCCCAGAACTTGCTGAACTACAAACTATCCAATCATGAATTATCCAAGTTTAGAATAAAGCTTGAGTTTGTGGATAGGAACAGATCAAGGGGTTACTTTGTTAACCAACTACCTCCTTGCTCAACAACATATAACTAGTAAGAGAATTCACTAAGAATGTGGAATCCTTGGTGCTCTCTAAGCTTCGTTTTTTTTCTCTTGCAGATGTTGCATTACCCAACCAGGTGACAGGACGATGTTCTGCAGTTGGGTAACGAAACATCTGCAAGGAAAAAAACCAAGCTCAGAGATATATATTTTCTTCTATTGTAACTAAGAATAGTTTGCAGAGTTATAGTTAGTGCATGTAGCTTTATGTATATTTGCTCATAGTAATTAAATCATCAGTAGTAAAAGAGCTTATATTAGCCTGGGTAAGGGGCCTCTTTGATCAATAGAACTCCATCACCTTATGGTTTTGCAGCTTTAAGCTCGATTCGTACAGGCAATCTTAAAGATTTCTTGAAACATGTCAACTATAGAATTGTTGAAAAGAGAGCTGTCCTTAGTAAAGTACTCTTTCGCGCAAACACAGTATGAGTTTTAAGTCTTTTAAGTGCATGTATATGTATATGAATGGGTGCACCCATGTAACTGACTCTTGGGGAAAGTAGAAAGGGGTGGAAAATCAGTGGCATTTGATGGGACGCTAGTAGGAACCATGTGTTTGGAACAAACATGACTTAAGTCCAGATTCATGCTTTCATCAACTAATTACTTTAGGTAAATAGAAATGCCAGATGTTGCTTGTTAAATTCATCTTTTTACATGAAAAACAGTTGCTTCTCCCCAGCCCCTACCTCTCACCATATCACGTGTTGTGATATTTTTGCACACGTAATGCAAATCTGTGTAATTGATTAGATGATGGCATGGTACACAGTAAGCGATGTCTTTTATCTGTGCTAGAGATGCTCAATCAAGTTCCAGTCTCCTTGGGATCCAATGTATAATTTCAGACCTTTTAAGAATTTGAACTAATTATTACTTGGAAATTACAGATAGTCTTTGACATACGACTGTAATAGAGTCTGTCCATTATGGTCATATGTTCTGATGGTCATAAATTGGGTCAGCCACTGCCAGCCTTGGTTTTATTTGTTTAAAATTAAGATGTACATACGTATACAGGTTATCCTTGACTTACAATCACAATTGAGCCCATTTCCATTGCTTAAATGAGACACTTAAGTGAGTTTTGCCCCATTTTACGACCTTTCTTGCCATAGTTGTTATGTGAATCACTGCAGTTGTTAAATAAGTAACACACTTCTTAAGTGAATCCGGCTTCCCCATTGACTTGGGTTATCAGAAGGTTGCAATAGGCGATCCCATGACCTCAGGACCTTGCAGCCGTCATAAATACAAGTCAGTTGTCAAGCATCTGAATTTTGTGATTGCGGGCCTGCTGCAACAGTCATGTGAAAAAAAAAACCATAGGTCACTTTTTTCAGTGCTGTCGTTAACGTCAAACCATCACTAAATGAATGGTCATAAGTTGAGGACTATGTATTTAAAATCAGAGATGGCAGAGGAAATCATTGTGGGCTTTGAATTTTATTCTTGAGCACTGAAGATTTTTAATTAGAGCTTTGTAGCCTCCCACATCTGTTTTTTCAGTTTAATGAAATATGTGAGAAACTCCCAGGGGAAGCCCTGCTTTTGCAGTTTTAAAGGAATGTCAGTTTTACTGTCTTTGTGATAACAAAGGTTAGGATGGAAGCGGTCTCTGGGATTTACTATCCAGAGCCAAATGGCCATGAGAAAGTGGAGGCCTCCATTCCCAACAGAGAGGGACAACTATTTTTTAGTAACTGTTTTTGAGAAAGTACTTCTGGAATTCCCCAAACAGGAGATCCATGATAAATGGAGCCACTGCACCCGCCAAGACAGGGTCCATTTTTCTCATGGTTTAAAAATGTCCAACCTTGGCAACCTTAAGAGTTGTGGATTTCAACTCCCAGAATTCCCCAGTCAGCATGGCTGGCTGGAGAATTCTGAGAATTAAGGTCCACAAGTCTTAAATGTTGCCAAGGTTGGACACCCCTGCTACTTTAAAGAAACCTATTAGCCTGCCTTCTCTTAAATGTGACTGATCCCAAAATCTCTCTTCTTTCCTCCACATCTGTGTATGCAGCTTTTCATTGGGGGGGGGGAAAAAATCAATATAGCGCTCAGTGAACTTTAGTAAAATGGTCTCCACTCCTTGAATTGGGTTTCCTTGCATGAGGTTAGGGCAGGGGTAGGCAACCTTGGCTCTTTTATGACTCGTGGACTTCAACTCCCAGAATTCCTGAGCCAGCCATGCTGAGGGGAAAGGGAGAGGTTTCCAAGCTGAGCCATGCTGGCTCAGGAATTCTGGGAGTTGAAGTCCACGAATCATAAAAGAGCCAAGGTGGCCTACCCGTGGGTTAGGGGAATTCCCAACAGATTGCAAGCAAAATAAGCTGCCATCGGGACACGGACCATGAAAGGTAAAGATTCCTTTGACTCAAGGCTGATTCCTGGTGATATCAAAATCCCCATGTAGCTTTTTTGGACACAGTCTTCCAAGATTTATTTATTTGTTTTAATTTCCCAAACTGGTCACAGTTCTGTGATGTCCTGGTGATCTTCTACCCTTGATTAACCATATTAGCCAATAATACATGATTTGTCTGATGCTCTGTAGTCTGCTAGGTTTCCATTTAGGGCTGGTTTAATGCTTGCCAATTATTTTAACAGCAGTGCTGGTTTATGGAGGAACTAGCAGGAAAGTAGGTGAGAGGTGAGACATAAATCCAAGTAAGTATTTTCAATTGAAAAATAAAACATCAGGGAGCCTGGTGATCATTAAGGACAATAAGTAAAGAGTCCCACTAGGTTCTGTTTGGGTACCTCACAAGAATGTAAGTTACCATACAGATAAGTAAATTGATATATGCATCTTTATATTTGGAGTAACTATGGTCATTATACCACCGGTTACTTTTTAAATAGAAGAGAATATATAAAGCTCGGGGTGGAACTTTGGAGTCCTTGATACTCTGGTTATTTGCTTGCAGACGTAATGAACATGGTGTTAGTTGGGTAATGAAACAGCTGTAAGCAAACAACCAAGTTCAGAGGGCAACAAGGATTCCATAGTTAGTTTTTAGTTATCTCTCCCTTTTTAAAGAAGTTGTACATGGAGACAAACATAATCAGTGAAAACAGCCTGAAATAACATCTTGATGAAATCCTGTTAGGGCGTGGGGAGGAAGTGGTATCAGCCCTTTATGGTAGACCAGACTTGAACCAGCCGTGGTGGCGCAGTGGTTAGAATGCAGTATAGCAGGCTAATTCTGCCCACAGTCTGGAGTTCGATCCTGACCAGCTCAAGGTTGACTCAGCCGTCCATCCTTCCCAGGTCAGTAAAATGAGGACCCAGATTGTTGGGAGCAATATGCTGACTCTGTAAACCGCTTAGAGACGGCAGTAAAGCACTGTGAAGTGGTAGATAATTCTAAGAGTTATTGCTAGTGCTAACACCAAAGTCATGAGTACTAAAACTACATTTATTATAGGATTAATAGTGAGAATCTTGCAAGTCGAGAGTGTCTTCCCCTCTCCCTACCTTCATCCTAAGGAGAACCAAGTGAGATATGCTTTCTCAAATTCCACTCCTGATTTGGGTTCAGACTTTTCCTATCTGATTATCTTGGCTCCAGCTCTTCCTCCAGGCTATATTCATAGCCCAGGACACCAGGGCAGGGGAAGAAACCTAAATCTGAATCTTCCTATCTCTAGCTAGCAAAACTATTCTGAACCAGACTAAAAGGCAGGCCCGTCACCAATTCTTTGACGTAACATTAACCCAAGCGGTTCCCCATTTTCATTCAGAAACACAAGTGAAAACCCTCGTCTGCTCTTCTCCCACCCAAGGGCATATCAGGAAAAGCAGCAAAACGACACCATCATTGTGGTAGACAATCATTGTGGTAGACATTGTGGTAGACCAAGATAAGCTAGGTCTACAGCTAAGTGTAAAGCTGCATTAAGAGACTCTTGCAAGTCTGAAGATACAAGGCTCCCGCCTTCTCCTTACCACCCAAGAAACTAGGGCGGGTCCCTTCTGAGCTTCTTGCTTCACCCTCTATCCAATTGCAGGACATGCTGTCTCTTATCTTACTGTTCCCTAGGCAGCCATTGTTCACTCTGTCTCCCAATGTCTTTCCTACGTACCATTACAGCTGCTGGGTTCCTACCTCTCAGAATAGGGTATGATCCACCCGACATTGTCATTTTCCCTTTTTCAACCCCTGTCCTCTCCACCCCATCTTCCTTATGGTGGGGTTTTGGTGAAGTAGGGCCCAATTCTAAACTAGAGGCTGCCGGTGCTGAGGAGTAATGGTCAGGCTGCTTGTCCATGCAGGGTTTGCAGACGACACATCAGCCAGAACTAATAAAGGATGCTTCCTGTCACAGGAGATAGAAGGACCACTGCTGAATCTAAAAACATACCCAAGCTTTCCCATTTGAGTGAGAGGGAGAGTACAAAATTTGCAGAGCAGGAGAGGGAGCTAATGTAGGTTTAAGAAAGAAAATAGTCTCGTAAGTGAAGGATTTATTGGAAGTCATTTTCAAAACATTTACAGAATGATTTTCCGGTGAACATACATTCATCGCAATAAGGAAACCAACATCTTCAAGAAAGGGGGAGGGGAGGGCAGGGGATAGGTTTACAACAACAAATCATGCAAAATATGCCAGATGAGGAATTAAGTTAAAAAGACACCTATGATCATGAAGGATACCTGCCCATTGTGGACAGATTTTCCATCCAAGCCAGCATTTTTTCCGATGGAAGTCAAACGACTTGCGCCCCGCACAACCTATCGGCAACACAGACTATTCAAAAACGAGACCCTACTTGATGTATTTTTCCATAAACTTTTTGTGAAATTCAGACCGCAGCGTGTCATTGACGAATCGTTTGTCTTTTTTTATCTCGTCTACACCCTTAGCGCAATTCTTGAAGACGACATCGTCGTCCCACCTATAAGAGGAAAGGAACAATCTACATGTGAGAAGCATAGCCAGAGACTTTTGGTCCACACTATAATATTCTGGCACATTTCCCCTTCTGGAAGGTTGAGTACTGAACCAGGGACAACCTATGTCAGTGTTTCTCAACCTTGACAATTTTAAGCAGTGGTTCTCAACCTGTGGGTCGGGACCCCATTTGGGGTCGATCGACCATTTCACAGGGGTCGCCAAGCAAAGCTGTACACCATTTTTTTTGTCCGCCATTTTCTTCCCCTTTTCCGGCGGGTGCCTTACCTCCCTTGGGCTGGGCCAGCTGGTGGTCGGCCTGCTCCGTCTCTGCTGCTTGCCAGCTACGCCTCGGCCGGCGCAGGGGCCGGAACCACGCATGCGCAGCGCTCCCGGGCAGGGAAAGTCCTCGACTTACGACCGGTTGGGTAGTCCTCGACTTACAACCGGTTTAGTCCTCGACCTATGACCGGTTTAGTCCTCGACTTACGACCGGTTGGGGTCGCGGCATTAAAAAGGTTGAGAACCACTGATTTTAAGGCATGTGGACTTCAACTCCCAGAATTCCACAGCCAGCAATGCTGGCTGTGGAATTCTGGGAATTGAAGTCCACATGCCTTAAAATTGTCAAGGTTGAGAAACACTGACCTATGTGAACATGTGTAAGGCTGAACTGCATGAAAAAAGCAGTCATCATTTGCCAATGATTGGGACCATGGCCAGATTAAGGATGAACCATTCTGAGTAACTTCATCTCGGCTAAGAAAACCTTGAGAGATGGAGAACAACAGAATATTACAGAAAACAAAGGAACAACTGAAAATCCTATGAAATGTATATGAAAGGTCATGTGGTAAATGACATTTGAAACTAAGAAAAGCACAGTAAGTGCTATTTGGACAGATAAAACAAGGGCCCAATGTTATAATTTCCCCCAGACAGTCCTGATTTTGTTTATATTACGGATCTTCCTAAACAGGAGTTTATGAATGCGTACATGAGTTGATTATAGAAACCATACAGGCTGTCCTTGAATTATGACCATGATGCAGCCTGCCCATTTTGGTCATAAGTCGCGATGGTCATAAAACAGGTCAGTCACATGACCACCTGATTTTATTATAGTTTTTGCAGTGGTCGTTGAGCAAATGCAGCAATTGTAAAGTGAGTGTGGGGCTTGATAAAAGCAAACCTATGGTAAAACTGATTAAAATCATACTAAAATGTGATCACAGGACACTGCAAATTATTATTATTATTTATTATTTATTAAATTTATATACCGCCCTATCTCCCTTACGGGACTCAGGGTGGTGAACAGGCGATACTAAAAACCACGATAAATATACACAAGTTTCTGTTGTAAAATCAAATTAAATAACAGGCCTGCTCTAAAAACACCCCATACAAAACCCCCACTGAAACATAATCAAACTACGCCAGGCCGGCCGCACGGAATAGATGGGCCTTCAGGGCTCGGCGAAAAAGGCGCAGGTCCGCAACTGTACGTA